TCCATTCTCCACATATAATGGTCACAGTTTAGTCCCACATCATTCCATTCTCGACATCTAATGGTCACAGTTTAGTCCCACATCATCCCATTCTCGACATCTAATGGTCACAGTACAGTCCTACATCATTCAATTCTCCACATCTAATGGTCACAGTTTAGTCCCACATAATCCCATTCTCGACATCTAATGGTCACAGTACAGTCCTACATCATTCAATTCTCGACACCTAATGGTCACAGTTTAGTCCCACATCATTCCATTCTCGACACCTAATGGTCACAGTTTAGTCTTATATCACACCATGCAATCCATAATGTAACTGCTCTGTAATAAGGCTAGATTTAGTTCTAATTACCACAACACGTCTGTACTATTCTATTCTTTATCTGTAACATTATTTTGCTTAATTTAAGGTAAGAAGTAGGCGTTGTTACATGTAATCCTATCTGTATATCGCTCAAAGAAACAAGGGCGTGATTCCAACAAACACATCATTTGTTTTTGATAGGGTGGGTATTCACATACTTAAATGTGTAAGTATAGAAGAAAAAAGTTCACACTCATCATACATGTTGGAAGGCATGCTTTTACAAACATAATGGAAATCATGTAAGCGGTACGTAAAAAGTTTTAACTATATCTTTGTACATCTACCACAAATATGACGAATACACACATCCAACATATTGCTCAATAAAATAAAATTTACTGAAAACAGGTCACAGCCCTTAAAATATTCCATATTGCTGCCATCATTAAACGATTCATAAAAATAAATTGTCTGTTTAAGTTTAAAGGGTTAAATACAAAATTGTTTGATACGTTTAATTTAACACTTGGGCATTAGCCCATGCCCTGTAAAACACTGCGATTTTACTCGCAATGATCATAGCTCTTCGATTCCTGGAACAATGTTTCCAAACCAGTTCTTTTGAATTGCTGGTTATGGATTATATTTTATGAAGTGTGCCTGGCATCTAAAAACTAATGACTTTTCTGGTTAGAAATATCACTTTAACGTCACTTTATGAAACGACCAATAAGGAAACTACACGATGTCAAACAAAGAGTGTGAGTGCACTAGAATTATACTTATTCCTTGTATACCAGCACAGCTATACATACTTACTTACATAGCAAATTAGGCTAAATAATGAAAAGCTCAGTACTGCATGCACATGCGCATTCCGATTTCTTAATATATTGTAAAATTTCTAACCACATATTCGACTAGTGTACAGTGTAATAATAGATACATATTTATATAAGTATACACAAGACTCTTCTAATTCTGTAACGTTTGGAAGAACAAGCTTTTGTTATAGGACTGTACGTCTTAGAACAAATACCTATTCACAAGTGTTCATTTTAAAAAAGTCCATTTGAAAAACATACACAAAATACGGAGTAGGAAGCGCCCGTTGTTCAGAATACTCCAGGGCTAACACAGTTGTGTAAAACTGTTTATATGTATTGTTAAAAGTATCAGGTCTTATTAAAAATACATTTCATAAAAAAATTATTAAACCGTTTATACGTATTGTTGAAAGTATCAGGTCTTCTTAAAAATACATTTCATAAAAAAATTATTAAACCGTTTATACGTATTGTTGAAAGTATCAGGTCTTCTTAAAAATACATTTCATAAAAAAATTATTAAACCGTTTATACGTATTGTTGAAAGTATCAGGTCTTATTAAAAATACATTTCATAAAAAAATTATT